GCTATAAACATCGGGGTGCACGTACCCCTTCGGATCCCTACTTTTGTATCTTTGGGGTAAATACCCAGTAGTGCAATTGCTGGATCGTATGGTAGCTCTATTTTCAACTTTTTGGATGGTAGAGCTTTCATTAACATTGTCCACTTGGTTAAAAGATGAGTGGGTGTTTTGGTAAGTGTATATAGGGGCAAACAATCTTTGTCCTCAGATTCTGATGCAGACTGGCCAGCACCGCAGGTTTGGAATATGAAATTAATGGTTTTTATCTGAGGGGAAGTGGAGATTTTCTAAGGAAGTGAAGCTAGTGAGTAAGCGAAATTGAAAAGAGTTCTTTCATCTCTGCTTCCTTAAGAACATGCTCAACAAAATGTGACTTTCCGTCCCCCCCACCTGCCCATTCTTTCACTACCAAATATTTTTAAAGGGAATTCTCTCTCTGCCCAGTACTTTCTCTAAACACCGATCTTTCACATTTATGGGTTTCTTTTCGGCACGTAGGACAGTAACTAAACCATTCTAGAGACTTGGTAAGTATTCTATAATGAAGGACTGAATCCACGTGAAATCAGGTGTCTCCCCAACCACTGCATAGAAATGAGAGCTCTCTTTTCCTGAGACAACTTGCCTTGGACTCTTGCAGGTTTGGACACTGGTCTCTGTCCTGTACTCCTTTCCCTTCGTTGCTGTCCTTGATACCTCTCTTTTCTGGATCTCCCTCAGTCCTCCTGACAACTCTGCTCCAGAAGGAGCATGGCCTTGTCTTCCTCATTCTTACTCCTGTAAGTGCACTGGTGCTGTTCAAGATTTAGTTTTGTTCTTTTTCCACAGAAATCTCTGGCACCCCCAAATTCTAGGCTTACCTCCACAGAGAAGACTCTCAAATCTGAATCCCATCCGTACCTCTTCTGTCACCTCTTATCCCACGTTTCTGATCCTTTTTGGACCCTTGGAGATTATACTGACTCTAGACTTAATAACATCCCCTCCCTCAGTGTGGAATTTCCTCCTACATTCTCTTCACATCATGTCCTATAATCAGCTTCACATGCTCAAAAGCTCTCTTTTGGACTCATTCCTCTCCTTTGCTGCCCACAGCTAATAAAATATCAAGCTTTTTCTCTTGTATTCATCTTTTCCTTTCTGTTCCTATTACCATAATCTTTATTCAGAAATGTCATGCTTGGGACATGCATGGGAGCAGTCTCCCCGCACATGCCTGCCACCGCCAGATTCATGTCCTAAACCTGAGACTCAAAGTGTCACAGTTCTGCCAAAGAGAAGAAAAAACAAAGTAACAAGTATCCTCGCCATCCCCTCCCTCCTGGCTATGGAATAACCAATACCAGTTAATTTACTGAATTGATTATTCAAGACCCTTTTTAAAGAAGCTTTTTTTTGGCTGTTGTTTCTGAAACATTTTTTATGTAGTAAAGTGCACAGATCTTAGGTATGTACGTTGATAAGTTTTGACAAACATATATAGCTATGTAACCAACATAAACCAATCAAGATATAACACATTCCTATCAGCCTAGAAAGTTCCTTTATGCCCCTTCCAGTCACTCTCCAGCCCCTTGTCCACTGTTTAATTTTTTCTATCACATAGGTTACTTCTGCCTGTTTTTAAATGTCATATGAATGGGGCGCCTGGGTGGCTCAGTCGTTAAGCGTCTGCCTTCGGCTCAGGTCATGATCCCAGGGTCCTGGGATTGAGCCCCGCATTGGGCTCCCTGCTCTTCAGGGAGCCTGCTTCTCCCTCTCCCTCTGCCTGTCGCTCTGCCTACTTGTGCTCTCTCTCTCTCTGTCAAATAAATAAATAAAATCTTTAAAAAAAAAGTCATATGAATGGAATAAATCAATAATTCTTGTGTCTGGATTCTTTACTCATCGTAATGTTTCCGAGATTCATCCATTTTGTTGTTTATAACAGTAGTTCTTTCTTTTTTATTGCCAAATAGCATTCCGTTGTGTTGATATACCACAGTTTGTCTATCTGTTTCCCTGCGGTATTTGATTTGTTTCCAGTTCAAGGCTAGGATACATAAAACTGCTCTAAATATTTTTGTGCAATGCCTTTTCGTAAGCATTGTTTTATTTCAGTTGGGCAAACCACTAGGAGTGAAATTGCTCACTAAGATCCTTAATATTTTGACCAGATCTACTTCTCTCTTTCTCTCCGCCTCCCTCTCTCCCTATTCCCCCTGCCCCTAACACATACACATACACACACAGATATCCTCACTCACCCCTAATCTGCTCAACTAGATTATAATCTCTTTGAAGACAAGAAAATGTCTTATTTCTCTTTGGATCTCCCACAAGGCTTAGGAGAGTTTTTAAAACTTTTCAGTTACTTGGGAAATATTATTTGATTGAACAATTCAACTACATAAAGAAATCACACGGCCATTTCATTTCATGGTGGTGGAGACGGGGAAAGCCCCAGGACTGAGGTATCCTGAGAGGTCAGCGACTCATGCCTGAGAGGAATCCATAGCTCATTCCCCCTCTCTGCGTGCCCCCCACATTGTAGGCTCACTTAATGCGGCCTTCTTACCACACGAGGTTGTCACTGCTCTTCCCCGCCAAAGTGAATGAAGAATTCTGTCCTCCGGAGGGTAGTGACCAAGAGTACTGAGCCTGCAGACAAACTGCCTGGATTTGAATCTGGGCTCCAAAGCTGACTTGTTGCAGGATTACTTTTTCTTTTTTTTAAAGCTACTTACATTTCCCGAGCTTCAGTTTTCTCTTCTATAAATGAGGACAACAGTACTACTTTGTAAGTTTGTTGTGAGCATTACATCATCATAACTACTATTTTTTTGGGGGGGGGGCTTTTTGTTATCTAGGCACTGTTTCTACACGTGCTAACAATCCTCACAACAGCCCTATGGTGCCACCACGGAGACACTGAGTCGCAACGAAGTTAAATAACATGTCGATGACCCTACTGCTCGTTTATGGTGGGGTCTGAATTCAAAATCAGGCAGTCTGAGTCAAGAATGTATATACTTAACCCCTGTAATAAACTGCCTCCCACAAGTAAGATGACGTACATGGATGCTGTTCCCAGCACATGTACTTCTTCAGTAAACATCATCTGCTGGTCATCAGCATTATCGCCACCATTCCCGGTTCCCATTTCTTTTAAAAAGAAAGCATTTTACAGGTAGCCCAGGCTTTGTTTGCCTTTCACTGAGGTGGTGTACATTTCAATTGGTAGCATAAGGGGTTCTTTGTTATGTCAAGTTTTGAGCTCAAGTTCTTTATGTATATTAAAATATAATTCATATTTTCTCAGGGTGGTGGTCGTGGTGGTAGGTATGGTCTTTAACAAATATCTGTTTGGATGTGTGTAGACACTTAATAGACCCCAGTGAACTGGATTCGTTCTTTAGAGAAGCTTTAAGTGTGTTAGTTTGGGGGCTTCCTCGAATCTGTGGGTAGAGCCCCTGAAAGCTCTTAAAAACATCTTTCCAGGACTTTCTGTTATGAGAATCAATGGAAATATGAAAATTAGTTGGCAGGCCAGGGGAATAGCAGGAGTGATCAGCGGCACCTGGAGAAGGCTGTCTGAGCGCTACAGCTGTGTCTTCACTTACCCATCCGACACCGCCCACCCACTGACAGTCTCGTCTCCTAAGAGGGCCTGTCCCTAACCAGCCTCAGTTTGCCGTTGCTGCTTCATTTCAGAACTCAGCCCCTACCTCACAGGGGGAAGGACCAGATTTCTTGTAGTCAGCCAAGGTCAAGACGACCACTGAGTCTAGCATTGCGGCCACCATTTGTCATCGTCAGTCATCCTTAGTGACTTGGGAGTAATTCCTCAGCGTGGCTCCGGAAGCTTTAAAGACCTTCTTTCTCATCCTTGCTCTCCGTCCTACAACCTCCAGTTATGAGAACAAAGTCATCGGATGTCTTGTTCCATGACTGTTTTGCTTCTTCTCAGTGCTGTGCTTCTGCCTCCCTCGAGCATCTTTGGTTAACCTCACACCAGCCATTCCGCCATTCCAATGTAGGAGCTGTATCTCTCCCAGCAGAGCGTCACTTCTATTTCTTGATTGCTAGATAACAGGAGAATTTACAGTCGTCTGATTGCATTAGCTCTAAACCTGCGTGGGGTAAACAATTAAATCACCGTGGAGAGAAAATGTGATTTAAAGGTACGGAAAATGATTGAAGGTGTTATTAAATTCTTTTCCCCTTGTATTAATTTCCAGTGAGTTCTTCATGCCTGGGCTGGTTGATACACACATCCACGCCCCTCAGTATTCTTTTGCTGGGAGTAATGTGGACCTGCCGCTTTTGGACTGGCTGACCATGTACACATTTCCTACAGAACTCAAATTCCAGAACATCGACTTCGCTGAAGAAGTATATACGAGAGTTGTCGTAAGTATCTTGCTTGTCAGTAGCAGTGTGTTATGACCAAATCACCTGTAGACACGTCCATTTCTTGGGGCATATTTTAATTATAAAACATAGGCAGTTGAGGCTAGAATGGACTGTGGAGACATTTTCAGTTTTCTTCAAAGCCCAAGGAGTGTGTGGACCATCCACCTCATCTACACAAGCTAACCCGTAGCAGAGAGAGCACTTGAATCCAAATCCTCAAATTCCCTATCTGGTGGGCTCTCTTGACTCTTGGTCTGTTACTTCTTGTGTTTCGAGTTACTAAATTTGAGTTTCATGCACGTGTGTGTTCCCTTACTGCTGCCAATCCACAGTGCTGTTCTGGGGACCATATGGAATAGCTGTGTAACCTTTGGAAAGTTCTGTGACTCATTTTCCCCATCTGTAAAATAAAGTAGAGATCATGATAGTAACTACTTCATAGGATTGTTATGATAAGTTAGTATTTGTGAGGTTCTTAGTGCCTGACACATGGTAAGCGTTGTATATGTTTGCTTTAAGAAACATGCAAGGAAATTTAAAAATAGAAGTTAAAATTACAGTTAGAAGGATATCACATTATTTTAGTAGCTTCCCAAGGAAGGGAAATAGGACGGCTCCCTATAGCAGGGTACGTAGGAACATGATGAGCATTAACACCACTAGAGGGAGCTAGGGAGCTAGTTCAAGTCATTGAACAGTGCCATCATTGAACAGTGCCAACCATATATTGAAGGCTCTGAAGATGTCCTTACTTCCACCCTCTCAAGGAAATCAGTCCCCTTCTTTCTACTCCAGCCCTATGCCAAATCCACTCAGCAACCAGAAACAGCTTCTGCAGTGGAGAATACCTTTTGCAAATACTTTCTTATCTGACCACTACCTCTTGTCATGCAGCACACTTAGTCTAAACATTTCTGCATTGTTGTTGGACCCATGGATGGTCTTTCTTCTAAAGTGATGGCTATGGGATGGTGACAGTATTTTAAGTCTTACACAGTTACCTAGCCATTCTGCCATTTCCCCTGGTCCTGTATCATTCAAGCCTTGAGGAGTAGAAGTAAGTGCTATCCTTTATATACTTGACTTCCTTTATTGTAAATTCAGTGTAATTGTGGATCTTACCTATTTAGCATGGATCCACATGACACCAGAAGAACTGAGAAGGACTAACACAGTGCATGAAGTTGCTGGGCCATTGTGTTAATGAATTGTGTTAACCACACCAAATCTTTTTATTCTCAAAATTTATTTATACCTCTCATTGTTCTAAAAAGATATCTCATTGTTTGAGATATCTTAAAATAAAATAGTGTACAATGGAAGCAAATGAGTCATGAAAGTGTGGCAAAGGAAAAAAGGAGGAAAGAAAAATAGAACTACGAGGTAAATGTATACCATGGGGGGCCATGAACTTGTTAGAATTTGTCACAAATTCAGCTTTAAGTTTCTAGCTGCTGACCCAGAGAGGGAAATCAGTGGTGTAATTTACACTGTGTATATGATAAAGAATAAAACATTTGTTAAGGTAAAGCATTTCTATTACTCATACTGATTTTCTTAAAAATTAGTTTCAGTAATAGTTCATATAGATACATGCTATGATGTCAAAATGTATATTATTAAGATGCTATAGTATTTTAAAAAACCCCAAATATATCACTGTTTTTTTTTTTTTTAAGATTTTATTTATTTATTTGAGAGAGAGAGTGAGAGAGAGAAAGAGCACAAGAGGGGGGAGCGGGAGAGGGAGAAGCAGACTCCCTGCTGAGCAGGTAGCCGGATGCGGGACTCGATCCCGGGACTCCAGGATCATGACCTGAGCCGAAGGCAGTCGCTTAACCAACTGAGCCACCCAGGCGCCCACCCCAAATATATCACTGTTTTATGTTTAGACATTTAGAGTATCTAGAACCATATATCCTTCAGGGAGTACTCCATAAATACTATTTCTTGTATCAGAGAGTTAAGTATTTGATGTCAGTGAGTACAAAATAAATTTTATTCTCGACATCCTATGTTTCTGATTATGAGCAGGCAGGCCTGCACACTTTAACAGTTGGATGAGCTGATGATATGGTTGAAATCTGTAGAAAGTTGAGATTTATTAACTAGAACCTGTCCCTAGGCTGACGACTGCTCACGGCAATGCAAAGGGATGTTAAAACAGTAGGTCCGGAGAGATCCAAGCCATTTTTGTTTATTTTATTTTCTCCCTCAGAAAACAGTCCTAGATCTATACTTCAGCAAATGGGCAAATCAAGACCCAGAGTTCTGCACCATAGATGACAGTGATCATTTAATGTGCAAATAATTTAAAGTATATATTAGCAAACATCTCCTGAGATTACTTAGAAAAAAAATCCCAGTAAAACAAGCCTGGATTATCTGCCTTTAAACATTGCAAACTGGGTGAGAGATTAGTTTCAAATTAGACTGGAATAAACTAAAAAGACTAGAAGGTTCAGGATCTATATATTATATAGCTTGCAGTCAAGGGATTGGACAATGAGATCCTGGTAAATGTGCCAAGATAAACAAGTTGCAAATATTCTGGGGAATAGGATGAATATGCTTACTCTATGGGGTTGTCAAAGATTCAACTGATGAATCCAACTAATTCCAAAAACGTATCAAATCATTAAAGTACAAGGTGAATAGAAAGGGGATAGGCCACTCTTTCCTCCCTATTTCAGCCCAGTGGAAATGCAAATCATCTAATCTGTTAAGAAGCCATTGCTACTGATCTTGAAGTTTGCAGTCATCCTATGTTTGGCATCTATTTTGAGCTTAAAAAGCTTGGTCTCCAAACCCTTCTTGTCAAGAATTGAAGGCTGAAGAAAGATTGAGAAACACAACCCACAGTCTGATGTTGTTCTTGGTAGATTCTTATAAACTGGAAAAATACAAACTCATTACTAACGGAAGAACCCTCTTTAAAGCTTATGAGAAACTAGGGTGGCCTTGGGTCCAGGATGCCCAAATATAGAACAAATGAAGGGAAGCAGCTGTATTTTAGATGGCCTCTTCAGTAAGGTTTTAAAACCAAACTAATTTCTTTCAATTACATAAGTCTCACACATGTAACTTGTTGGTGAAATGGGTTGAAGTCAGTGGAACCAGTAAGAGTAGCTTGGGGTTCTTTCCTTTCTCCTCTCCCTCCTTCCTTTTCTTTTTTTCCTCTGTGGTTTTTCCCTGTCCTGTTCTTTAACTATAATTTGAGCAGATTCTTTAACTTTCTAGTTCGTTCCAGTCCAACTTGAAAGTGCAATTTCTCAACTAGTGAAAACACCCCTCCCCTCCCCCCCGCCTCCGTCAGAGGAAGGACTTACTATCCATGTCTGTGTGGCACTTCCATTGTCCTTCTTGCTAAACAGCCAACACTTTCCATTTTGAGTTCATCTTCAAGCCAAGATTTTAGAAAAGTGTGTAAAATTTTGAGAATTTAGAAAATGTTAGATCACAGTTCTGTTTTAATTTTGAGTTTCACTTTACTCTGGTTAGTGTATGCAACCAGACTCATGGCTCCATCTCATGACCCTGAGATCATGACCTGAGTTAAAATCAAGAGTTGGATGCTTAACTGACTGAGCCACCCGGGCTCCCCCCATAGATTTTTTTTTTTTTAAATCCAGCTTCCTTCTGGCCTTAGAGATTGCCTCTTTCCTCTGAGATTTTTTTCCCCAGATTCCTTTTTCCTCCTTCTCCTCTTTTTTATACTAACTTTTCTCCAGTGTCTGTTGAACCTTGAACATACATTTCATATTTAAGTGCAATGCTCTAAAATGGTGATTGGAAGTCTGGATGGGGATAACTCTTGTTGGCTAGTGAACCTCATTACAGGATAAACAGTGAAGGCAGTAAACAGCCCTTTCAACTGTGGGCCCCAAATGCCACTGTGAGGATATCTTCCTTCTAGAACCAGTCATCTTCTCTAGGGAACAGTTCCTCAGTCCCGCTAGGAGTGGTGGGAGTTGCATATGTGGGATTTTGGGGAAAATGACCAAGGATCCAGAGGGTCAACCAGATTATCCACTTAAAACTCTTTCCAGCCTCTGCTGAAGCTTGCCATATTGGGTGTCTAGTCTCCAAATACTGTTGCAAGTTTCTGCAAGAGCAAATCTCTCCTGCAAGAATCAGGTTGGCCTGGTTGGCTGATTTCAACAAGGAGAAGGGTCCTGCCAGGGTTTAATCATCTGTATATAGATTGTCAGCCAATTCTCTATTAGCAGCTCTGTGCTTCTTTCTCTTCTTGCAGAGTCACCTCCAGGTTCTTATCCATGTTTTTTTTTTTTGTCTTCCAAGGGGATGTAGAAATGTTTCCTTTGTTCATGTCTCTTTCTTCTGGGTTAATACATTTTATACTTCTTTACTGTTAGTTTAGTGGAATTGTGCTAAGGAAGGGAGATAAATACACGGGACTAATCTGCTGTGTTGAACTAGAAATCTGGCTGAATAATTTTGCCCTCTTGTAGATGGAAAAATCTCATTTACTCATCCCTTGATGCAATAAAGTTTGTATATCCTTAAATAATCCTAAAAACCAAGGAATTAATTAGTATTACATTTTGTGAAGTCTGCAACACGGAACAGTGTGAAATCTAGGAAATCAGAAGCACCAGCTTCTTCTCCAGCTCACACTTTTGGATATAAATACTTTTGCCATTTACCTTAACTGTATTTCATATCAAGATGGCATACCTTTAAATAAAAATATTTTAAAATTAAAAACTAGAATTCTATTTTCATCTTTATTTGCCATGTGACTTTTCTGGGCACACGCGATTCATGGTTTTTGTGATTTATTCTTAGAGGAGAACACTAAAGAATGGAACAACCACAGCTTGTTACTTTGGAACAATTCACACTGACTCATCTCTGCTCCTTGCAGAAATTACAGGTGAGGAAATTAAAGCATGATTTATGGGCACATCAAGCCAAGACAGTCAGACCATGCCCGGCAATGACTTATACATGTGGGCTGTCCTGCCTCTTAATTGCTAGAATTTGAGCGCTGCATTTCTTGCAAGTAATTAGGTGTTTGTGTATGGCCCTTGAATGTTTTTTATTGTGTAAGTAATTTGATTATTTATTTATGGTTTTGGCTCCAGAATGATGTGTACGGGTCTGAATTTTGTGTATTAATTTAGGGTGTTTGGGACCAAGTTTACTAATTCTCACTGTGGCAACAGTTTATTATATTATAATCCGCAGACACATCTTGGCTCTTGGCTAGACTTAGGGCACTGTGCTAGATGCTGGGAACACAATGAAATAGAAAATAACTGTATTAACAGTGGCTGTGCTCTTGCTGGATGCCTGGCTTTGCACAAAGCACTCTCCATGGATTATCTCAGCTCAGTTGCAAACAGTCTTTGGAAGTAGGCATTCATGCCCTCATGTCACAGATGGATAAACTGATGCTCAGAGGCCATAACATGCCCAAGTCACACAGCTAGTAAGCAGATCTGAGACTGGCTTTAGATCAGTAATTCCAAAACTTGTACCTCGCACAGTGCCCAGAACATGGCAGATGCTCAGTAAATACCATTGGCTGATGCACTGATACTTCTGCTTGCTGGCCAAGGTAGGTTCTGCCAGAGGCTTAAAGGGTAGCCCTGAAAATATATATTGCTATTTTTGGAGGAGACAGAGAAGACTCAGAATTGGATCATCTGGAAAGAATTCATAGAGGGGGCCTTTAAATGGGGCCCTACAGGAACATAAAATGGGGAGGGAGGAAAATGTCTTCCCAACAGGGGAAATAACATGGACAAAGCTATGGGGACAGGGATATCCATAGTGGATACAGGAAGCAAGGAACAGAATAGCTGAGCTGGAGGACAGGATTCATCGCACAGTGGGGTGGGAGAGGAGGTTGGGCAGATGGGATGGTTCAGACTGTGGCGAGATTCGAATATGCATCAGATACTCAAAGATTTTGAGCCAGATGATGTATGTGATGAAGGTGGTGTTTCAGGTAAGAGTAATCTAATGGCCAGGTATCACAATGAATTACAGGGGAAAGAGAGGGGCAAAAAGACTTTTGCAAGATTCTTATGACAGAAGCAGAGACATGGTACAAACAGTATAACCCCATGTAGCTTCAACGTTCTAGCCGAAATAAAATTTCTCTGGCACCTCGAATGAGGACCTGGTTCCTTAGTGCTGAGAGCTGCCAGTAGGACCATGTCAAATTCCCCACTGATGATAATATTGGCGTTGCTATGGTTAGGAAAAGTGGCTGTATCTTTCCTAAGCCCTACATGCCAGACACTTTATATACATTATTGGATGTATTCCTCACAACCCTACATGTAACAGAGGACACTGGGCACATACAGGGTTAGACCTTAATCAAATATTATCACCACCTTGGTAGTAATCCAAGGAATAAGGAGTCAGTGGAAGACCTTGAACTACTTACAGAATTTGGTGTGGTTTTGTTGTCGTTGTTATTGTTCTTAAATGGTGTGATGATCTTTTACATTCTCACTTGTGTTTTCATAATGATTTTAATTTAAATGTGTTTCTAAAGGCTTGGGAGGGATATACGGTTTGGGGGGAAAAACATGACTTCAGATTCTGTTTGTGTGTCCCTCTCACAGATAAATTTGGGCAGCGGGCATTTGTGGGCAAAGTCTGCATGGATATGAATACCAGTGTTCCAGAATACAAGGAAACCACTGAGGAATCAATCAAGGAAACAGAGAGGTACATGCATCTTGATTTGTCTTGTGGGCGGTCCCTCTGAGGCACTGATGGAGTTAGAGATGGAGAGAGGCAGGCTCTGTGAACCAGGCCGATATGCACATATGTCACTGTGTGGGTTTGCCCTACTTTATGCAGGTGGTCTGGTCCTAAAGAAAATGTTCCATGTCAATACCGTTCTGAAGCCTCTGGGGACTTGTTATAGAGTCCTAGGGTGAATCCCTTTGTGAAATGAAGGATTCTTTTTGTAAGTTAATGATTTACCACTTCCCTCTCCTTTAGTATAGATAGATGGAGGCCTCTCCTGTAAATTGAACTTGCTTTAAGTGTATGTGCACATCAGATTACTTTTGGTGGCGGGGTCATCCTCTTGCCTGAGATCATGAGCTTTCGTTATGTTCTTTTTATATTACACTGGGATAGTCTACGGATCTCAAAAGTACTTTATCTACATTTCTTTAATGGCTTTTCCATAGTCCCTTGAGGATTTGATTTGACAAGGAATTGCGTTGTATGACATTCGACATCCAAGAGATATAGAAGAACATTCTTTAGATGTAAATCTTCCCCAGGACCTAACCTATCCTGATGCAGGTTTTAGAAGCCCAACTTTTCTACAATTCCAGACCTCCTTCACCTTAAATATGTCCTCTGGAAAGGGTAGCTCAGGAACCACCACCTGCTCACAGAAAGAGTGAAGCATGCACCTTCCTCGCATCGTTGGCCACATGCTGAACTTTTCTATGGTTGTGTGTTTGTGGTCATAGTAAACCTTAATCCCCATTTTGTTCTGAAACAAAGGACTACCAGAAGGCAGAAAGCTAGCGAATAAATTTTTTCAGTTGGGGCACAAATAGCTGTTTCATAGGCCCTACAGATACCACCATCCCTCATTGCCACCCCCATCCCGTCTGGTCCCGTTCCTCCCCTCTCCCCCCTCTCCATTTCACAGCCACCTCTGGCCTGTTCCATCAGCCTTACTCCGACGTCTGTGCCCATAGAGTTCTATGGCTTCTAAATGCCTCCAGGTGCATAGGATTCCGTGATTCTAATATCCATGGAGTATAACATCCTGCAATATTCCCCCAAATAGAGCTTAAGCCAGTGGAATGGTTGAGTTGTATGGGAATACTCATGAACAGCCCAGCTGATGTTAGAGGATAAAATTGCATTTCCCTGTGATTTTGCACTCTATTTCTCTGGCTGCAAATGAGAAAGCAGAGTAATTACTACTTGTTAATCTTTAATTAGTGGTGGTGAAACATGTATGGCATTAGAAATGTTTGCATGGAAATTAAGACATGTAAGGATCATGTTTTCACCCTTTTAAAAAATCTATTTAAAAATGCCCAAATTTTCTATCTTCCCATTTGTTGCTTTATTTCAGATTTGTGTCAAGAATGCTCCAAAAGAACGTAAGTAAGCTTGTTCCCAGCTTGATTTTGGATTGCTTTTGTGTCATTTGTTAAGATTTGCTATTAAGTTGTTTGGTAAAGATTAGTCTGTAAACGTTTGGCTTACTCCATGCATGCAGAAATATCTCCCCAGAGCCTTCGGTTGTTTTTATAGTCGACCCATCAACTCAGCTCTGTGAGGTCGGGCTTTTTTGTCTCCTCGGTGGTTTTCCCTTCCTCTTCTCTGGAACCTTCTAATCACACAGGACTGGTCCCTGGGGAGGTGGGAGAGGGCTTCCTGGATGTGGACAGATTGGGAGCAACTGGAAGTTGGCTACATCAGCAATGACTCTGGACTCTTGTACTCCCTGATCTGGTCTGGAGCACGGGTGGTGTCCACCATGATACCCCAGCCTTTGACTGCCTTGGTCCCTAACGTGTGGTATGTCACATGGCCTGCAGGCCCTCGGCCGGCCACTCCTCTTTGCAGTGCCTGGTGTTGGTGAGTCTGTGGAGGCAGGGCTGTCTCCTTCCCCCACTCCCAGCAGGCCAGTTCGTAGCTCCATTGTGCAACCTCTTAGGTTGGCAAGCCAGACCCTTCCCTTACCACCTTTTGAGGTCTAATTGGAAACCATGAGAACCCTATTACTTTCAGTCTAATCTTGGGAGAACTAGGTGGAGCTTTGGGGGTCCTCATGCTCACCACCTCTCTCTTGAGCCCTTCTCACCTGCTCAGCCTTTACCTTGGGTGACACCAGACCCAGTACTGCCACCAGATGTCCTGAGGGAGGCCATGGCTGGCCCTCCTCCCCAAGATGTAGATGGGGAGTAGACCACCACTTCACTTTGAGTCTCCCCAGAGCAGCCTCCTTTAGAAGTTCTTCTGCTTCCCATTTTTCTTCATGAAGGCCATGCAGTCAAGGCCTTGTCTGAGCCTTCATGTAGATGTGGGACTGGGGCTATCTGTCCTTGGAGACAGGATCTTCTTCCATTGAACTTGGTGCTACAGAATATTCTCTCTGTTGTCCTCAGCCAAGAGCTGTTTCCATGAAACCCACTACTTCTACCCACTCTTAGAATGGGGGGCTATCCTCCAAAATGAAGACATAAAATTATCATGTTATATGATATGCATGTTGGGGTATGCTACACTTTCCTGATATCCATAGTTTCCTTACCAATTTTTTTTATATTATTATTTCCAGTATTCTAGAGTTAAGCCCATAATGACACCACGTTTTTCCCTTTCCTGCTCTGAAACTTTGTTGGGTAAACTGGGAAACATGGCGAAGACCCATAATTTGCATATTCAGGTGGGTATTTTTCTGTTGTTTGTGCCCCTGTCCAGACCTGCAAGACTTTTCAGTACCCTAAATTCTGGCAGTCATCTCCAATTCTTCTCCTGAGATCTCCTAGAGAAATAGCATCATAGGACAGGAAGGGCTCTTACAGACGTCACCTAAATCCACTTCTTTAATTTCTCAGATAAGAAACTTGAAGTTCCTTTTACCCTCATCTTCTCTGATCAGACTTAGAGAGACGAGGACATCATATGTAACCAAGCCAGATCAATAAAACACTGGTTACCTGTTCTCTGTATACATTTAATTAGTTTCTTTCTTGCTTCTCTCTTTTATTTGATCCTTTTCTCAGTGTTCCAGTCCTTCATTTTTGGAGGAACCACCTATTATTTGAAAAGCAAAAAGAACCTAATTTCTCCCTTACAAAAATGCATTTAAAAGCCCTTTTGTTCCGAGTTTCTTAATTTAAAAATCAGGAACAAAAAAGGATATCTTACTTTGTCATTAAACGGTTGCAATTTAGGAATGAAACACTTTTTAAAGCTTCCAGCTGGGTTAAAATTGGGAGTTGCAGGCTCTCCTTCCTCCACCCAAGCTTTATTACAGACTGCACTAACATTTTCCCTCTTAAGAGTGGACTATCTTATAATCAAGGGCAAGTTAGGGGAAAGGCAACATATTGATTCTTTATCAGGGTGGAGGGTATTTTGTTTTGTTTTGTTTTTTTTAATAAGATTTATTTTGTTGGGGCTCATTAACTATTCTCATCACTCCTTCCCCCCTTTTGGGGGACTGTGATATTTGTATTTTTGATTCAAACCCACACAATTGTAGGGGAAGAAAAAGTTTTCTTCGACCTTCTTAGAGTCCCTGGCTGGGTCCGAAAACTAAATTGACAAAGACAATAGGAGAAAAGCATACAAATGTATTTAAAATAAGTTTTACATGATAAGGAGGCTTCATAAGGAAATGAAGACCCAAAGAAAGAGAGCATTTCTAGGCCAGTGCATAGTCATGGAGGAATAATTGTTTGTTTGGATTCTTTGGGGCATCCCTTTGTCTTCAGAGATAAGGATGCTCCTTTCCTCCAAGGATAGGGTGGGCACCCCTCACATAAAAGCTTTATGATCTGTTTCATTCTGACCTTCGGCTATTTTCCTTCAGCTTAAAATATGCAGTATGCCATGGTGCCATATTTGGAGCTAGGATGTCCTGAACTCCATGAACACAAAACAAAATCAACTATATCCTTGCTGGGGAGGGGGGGGGTATGCATGTGTGCATGTGCATTTAGCATTTACTCAACTTTATCAAAGTGAAAAGAATCATCTGGTTGTCCTTTTTTTCTCTTCAGATGCCCATGCATTTCTTCAGTGGTCTAGATTTCCTCGAGGCCAGGATAGAGCTCACCCTCTAGGTGGAACACTCTATTTTTAGAACATTGCTCTTTTTTCTCTTAATACTTTGGCTCACACTACCTCATGGAGAAGGGGAAATGGCATTGCCATTCTTGGAAGTGGCAACTTGCTCATGAGTTTTTTCCTATTATATGTATTCATCACCAGCTGGTCTGGAAGGATTTTTGTTTTAGGCAAGGGCGTGGGGTTTATGGTGTCCTAGAGAAAGGTTGGCATGGGGGCCAGGACTCATTTGTTTTGATTGGACATGATTTTTATGGGCTCTTTTTTTGGTGACAGCAGGATTGTCTAGTTCAGTTATTTTCAAACTGTTTTCTGTGGAAGATCTCATTCTGGAAGTTGATGAAGGGGACAGAACGAGGACAGGGTTCTAGAGTCCCAATCCTGCTTCTTCCTGAGAAGCAACTTGTTTATGCCTTTTACATATTGTATTTCTATGAGTTTATATATGAGCAACATACTCAAAGCTGAAAGAGTTTGGAAAATTACTCATTTAGCCCAACGCTTATATTTGAAAGATGAGACTATAGAGACCCAAAGGAAAGAACTGACTCACCCTACTGAAACATAAGTAGGCTCAGAACTTGAGCTAACATTCATTTCTCCTTGTTCAAATGCCAGTTTTCTTATGAGTGAACCATGCTGTCTTTCCTTTTATGGCCATGAAACTCTTCTCTTAAATGGCCAATATCAAAAGAGACAAGTTGCCACAAATAGCTAGGTTCAAGTACTGTCTTCAAGTACTTATTATTTGTATTCATACTTGCTATAGAAAGAATATAACATGGGTTAAGGTTAGGGCTAGAACATTACATATTCATGTAACTATCATGTTCACATTCATAGTTTCTTTTTCACATAGATGTGATATTATATATAATATGTATAATTGTTTTCAATACAACACATGTAGCATCTTTGTTGTCTTACATAGGCGAGTAGAAACCATCCTTATCATTTTGGGGTAGGAAGTATAATTTCTAATGGTATTTCACATAGAAAATTGCAAATATTATTTATTTTCTTGTAGAGCCATATAAGTGAGAATGTCAATGAAGTTGAAGCTGTGAAGAACTTATTTCCCGATTATAAAAACTACACAGATGTGTATGATAGAAACAATCTTCTGACAAATAAGGTACATTGCATATCATGACATAATCTGTGTCAAGTAGGGCATATTTATCTACATTTCAAAATCTTAATAATTGGGGGGCAGTGGGAAAAAAATGAAATAATAAAATAAAATCTCAGTGATAATCTTCAGACTTCTCCAACATGTGTGCATTTCCCAAACTAGAGTAAAGCTCCGAGGATGCTCATGCGTGGGTGTATAGTTAAAAATCAGCCTGCGGTTTCATCTCAGTAAATAAATCTCAAGGCTTCTTTGAGGATGGGAATGTCATTTGGTCCAAAGACATTTTGTCAGTATCCATTAGAATGTAAATGTGCATTCCCTTGAGTTAGCGGATGCATTTCTAAGGATCCATTCTGTAAGGAATATGAATAAGAATGTTAATTAATGTGAAAGTTAGGAAATGTCTATCAGTGGGTGATTGTTTAGATTATAGAACATCCGTAATTAAAATTATATCCAGCATTCACAAGAATGATGTATACAGGCTTACAAGGAAGAATGTTTATATGGTATTGTTTGATGTATGTGGGTGCATGCTCACTTAGAAAAAATTATCTGGAGGGGTGCTGGGTGGGGCTCAGGTCACGGTCTCGGGGTCTTGGGATCAAGCCCTGCATGGGGCTCCATGCTGAGTATGGAGCCTGCTTGGGATTCTCTCTCTCCTTTTCCCTCTGCTCCCCCCACTTATGCACTCTTTCTCTCTCTCTCTCTGTCTCTTAAAAAAAATAATTATCTGGAATACAAACATTGACTGTTAAATGTGATCCTCCTGAGGGAGAAAACAGGGGACTTTTTACTCTGTATTTTTAAACACTGTGGTATTGCTTTAAAAAAAAATGAGTGTATATAATACTTTCAGAATTAAATAATTTCACATTAAAATTAATATAGTGAGGAGACACTTCATTACAACAATATACCCCTCGGCCTTGGCCTTCAATGAATTGTTCAAACTCTGTGGAGAGTTGAACATACTGCAGCAAATAAATTCTTCGGGACTGTGAACGGAAGGCTGAATATGACTAATTTGAAAGGTTAATACTCTACATAGTTCTTGTAAATGCTATACCGTAATTTTCATCCTTCTCTACATATATTTCCATGTGATTAATAAATTAACCTGCCGTTTGCATGTTATTTTTATTTGCACAGAGTTTGGGAAAATTTTATTTTAATAATAATTCTTGGTCACTGAACTGTACCTCCCAAAGGAGAAAGCTATCTGGAAACAGGTTTTGAACTGAAGGAAAAAGAATTTTGAAAGAGTAAAGCCTTTTTTTAATTTTAATTTTTTTCATTTGAGTAGAGTTGACACACAATGTTACATTGAGTTTCAGGTGTACAACATAGTGATTCAACTTTTCTTTGTTACACTGTGCTCACACGTGTGACTACCATCTGTCACCATACAACCTATTACCATTGACTCTATTTCCTAGGATGGGCCTTTTAGTCCCATGACTTATTCATTCCATCACTGGAAGCCCGTGTCTCCCTCTCCCCTTCCCCCATTTTGCCCCATCCCCCCCACACCTTCCCTTCTGGCAACCGTATTTGTTTTCCGTGTTTACAGGTCTGATTCTGCTTCTGTTTGTTTGCTTGCTAATTTTTCTTTGTTTTAGATTCCACATATGAGTGAAATCATATGGCATTTGTCTTTCTCTGTCTGACTTATTTCACTTAGCATAATGCCCTCGAGGTCTATCCATGTTGTTGCACATGATCTCATGTTTTGTTATTGCTGAGTAATAATACATTGTATGTATACCATGAGAAGACTTAAATCCTTTTCAGGAAAACCCACAAATATTACCAGGACTAAACAGAGAAGTGTCGTATGTGGGCAGTGCCTGCCTTCTTGGGTCAACTTTATCTTCCAGATTAATGCATATAAAATACTATATTTCCTAATTTTTGTGGAAATGTAAATATAGGTGATAAAACAGTTTATTTGGTTGTGTCAACTATACTCCAATTAAAAAAAGACTTAAAAAATAGATAAAGATTATTTGGTTTTATGTATCAAGAGCATCGGGGGGCACCTGGGTGGCTCAG